CTGCAAGCTCCAAGTCCAAGGTCCTCCAGGGACATTTTCTGAAGCAGATAGAGACAGGAGTCATCATCTCTATACAAACAACTGTCACTGATGTCCTAGGCACTGCAGATCTATGATTGCCTACAATGTGTTGTCACAGACACGATATTCTGTTTCCCAGATAAGAATCCATTATCTACCTTCACTCTTAACAGGGTGGATGCAGCAAGCTATATAATCCATCAGTCTTGCCAGGAATGATGAGATTTGTCTCGTGATTTGTTTGTTATGGTTCTGTGTCTGTTGAACAAAAAGTACTTTAAATAACCTATGCACCTAACTTGAAAGATGGAGGGTGCTGACAGTTCTGAGAAGCTTGTGTCAGTTCTAGAATATTTTTGTTGTTGATGTGGACACATTTTCATTGGGAAATGACTTGTCTCTTTTTCAGAGTCACTTATAAGGAAGGAATAACACTAGGGCCCCTTATGACTTATCATCCCACCTGCTCAGACAGCCTGGGAAGTCTCTCTTTGCTGAGTGGGATCCTCCTGCCTTTGCTGCTCTCTCCCCTCACCTGTTTTCCCTTTACTACTCCTGCAGTTTATAGCGACGGTGATGTTGTTCTTGGGCATTTTGGTCATCCATGATGAGAAAAATAATGGAGCCCTGAAAGGCACACAGGCTCTGCTCACGGGTATCCTGGTTCTAGGCATCGGTATGGGGATGGGAATGAACACAGGCTACGCCATAAACCCCTCCCGAGACCTGCCACCGAGAATCTTCACAGCAATTGCTGGCTGGGGAATGGATGTCTTCACGTGAGTGACCTGGTTTCACACTGTACAGCTCTCTGGGAATGAGAAATGCCCAAGATAACATGGTCATGGAGCCTGCGTACTCCTTTACAGAAAGCAAATATTGTGCACAGAGAAGCCCCATGCATCCTGTTCACAAAATCTGGGATATGCAGTTCTCCAGTATAGGATTCACCTTGACATTTGGATGTCCCAGTTTAGAAACCAGGAACAATTCACCTCTTAGCTAGAGATTGAGCTGTCATTGCAGTGACTGGAGAGACTGTGATTTGGCTCACCAGAAAGCAAGCACTTGAAGCTGGAGTGCTGAATTGCTTTCCTAAATTTAGATGTCTGTATCTACTCTACTTTCCAGAATCTACTAAGATGGCTTCACACCACAGCTTTTTCCATGGTGAAGGCATTAGTAGAATCTCTGTCCTGTCTCAGCTGCTCATTTTCACGAAGACCATGCTGAGCCAGTTTCCCAGGCCAAAAGCAAAAGTTACCTTCCTTCCAGCTACTAGACTGACGGATCCAGAGTTTATCTAAGCCATCTGGACAGTTGAGAGTGTGAAATGGCACCAGACACCTCTGCTCACAAAGCTCAGCCCTAGCACTCAGCTCACCTCAAAGCAGTGGGGCAGCTGTTTCTGTGTGGCTCACTGGATGCCTCTTCTGTGTTTCATTTTAGGGCTGGAAATTATTGGTGGTGGGTGCCACTCGTAGCTCCGACACTGGGAAGTCTTGCTGGTGGTTTAATCTACAAACTCTTAATTGATATTCACAATCAACCTGTCCTGGAGCATGGAAATGAAAAAGGACAGACAATCATTGAAAGTGCCACCTTGTGATGGCCATCCTGACAGCAAATCCTGGGTGGACGTGTGCATTGACAGCTGAAGACTAATCAAGTGGGTAAGGGCATGTGCAATGGCATTGCTGAAGTGCATGCTTTTCTCACCTTGCAAGTGAATAAATGAGAGAGTAGCTTAATATAAATCTGTTCTGCTTAACCAGACAAACAGGGTCTCTAAGACACTGGGCACACCTGAGAAGGTCAAGACCTGTTTATGAACTGAAGAAATTATTCAATCTTTCTGAGTAAAAATCTGCTCCCAAAAATCACATTCTGGAGATGCAGAAGTCCAGTCGCCTGTAAGTTAGTTGCAATCACATGTAAGATTCAACATGGCTGGAATAAAAATCAGTCAAATGAAAATCAGGGAATACCTACACTGTTGCAGAAACAAAGAAGTTTTGATCTGGAATACTCTGCTAAAAAATTGTAGCTATTACACTGATGAATCAGAGGCTCAGATTTTTTTCCATTCGCTAACCTGCCACCTTAACTGCTATCCAGTTTGTCAGAGCACAGAGAATCAGGTTGGAGGGGACCTTGAAGATCATCTAGTTCCAGCCGCCTGCAGAGGGCAATGGGCAGGCTTGCCAACCAACAAATCAGGCTGCCAAAGGCCCCTTCAACCTGGGCTGGAATGTCTATAGAGAAGAGCAAGGACAGTCCCATTAAGAACTAGTTTGGAGAGTTTTCCTCACTGAACATAACCTCACTGGAATAGGCTAGATGTTTTGCACTATGCAGGTGTGATGGAGCCGCATGCATTGCAACTGATGGATTAGACTTTAACTACAACCTTATGAGAGGATTCAGACAACTTCTGTGGCAGCATATCCAAATGTCAAAAAAACTTGATTCTCCACTTTGATTATTAGAGAAACATGGGAATACACCACTGTACTCCTGCATCAATTCTGCAACATACGTCTGAATGAGGAAATGGGCAAGCAGTAGACTTGCAGATCTGTAGCACCACTGGACCAAAAGTATGACACCATCAGCAGTATCAGCCTATCTCTGCGCTGGGTGATAAGGCAAACTTTTCTGGGAGATGCTTTATGTCAGGAATATGACTGTGGTACAAGGGCTGGACGTACAGAGACACAATACATGGCTCTGCACTGTTCATCATCACTGTCACACAGAATTTCAGAAACTGGCATTTACTGGCTTTAACAGCCATTCACGTCACAATACCAAAAGGATTACTGTATTACTGTGGCATGGGATTAGATGGTAGGTACCATATCTGTTTCCTCATTAGATTTCACCATTTATTAGTAGAGCAGCTACTCTGGGCACAAGATGCACCTCAGCTTAAGTGGGCAAAAGAGTACAAGAGGATTTTCTTATGTGGTGGTAGAGGATAGATGTCAGGCAACTCCTGTGGTTTCTGTCAGCAATCTCCATTAAAGGTGGGCTGCAGTAAGTGCTAGAAGCCAGCAAAGTGTATCAGAGCCAGAGATGCTGACTGCAGAAATCCTGACCAGTGAACATAGGATGGAAGTAGAAAAGCTGTCACACAGCTGAGCCTTTTCATCTATGCAGCTCAGGATGGGATCAGCTTAAAAGATGTGTAACTTATCCCTTCTCAGTGAAAGTCTCTCTGGTGCACTAAAACAACAACAACAAAAAATCCAGCCTGCACCCTACTGTTACTGTACATCCTTCTGCATGCGCTCCCAAAGGTATTTCAAATACCCAATGACTCTGGAGGAAAATATTTAAATCTTTATTAAAATACTATTAAGCATTTAACAGGGTGGCTTCATCTTCCTGAAGACCATACAAACACTTGCAAAAGACTCACAACATCCCTGTGAGGTAGGTTGGTCTTATGTAATTATGTGAGCATTTCATAAATAAAAATGCTGTTATTTAAATAATCAACGCTTATTTGGAGATGGTGACTTTTATTTCCCTGCTTAGACATAAAACATGCTACCAGGTGGCTTCAGCATATGGACAAACTGGCACATAAAAGTAATGGAAATGGATGCAACTGAACATCAGAAATCAGTGTGCTAAAGTGCAGTTCTACCCTGAAAACATCCAGTACAGAAAATCAAGGGGTCCTCCTGTCTGACAGGACTCTGCTGCCCTAGCTCAGCATTTCCCACAAAAGGAGAAAGTGGAGACAATGAAGGACCTTGCAGGTTCTGATTGCTGGCAGGCTAATTGGAAAGGACATCATACAGACATCACTATCTGAAAAGAAATGGTACAAAGTCTAAGAAGTGGTCTGGACTGTAGAGCAAGTGTCTCTAGGCCAACACAGAGACATGGAAGCCCTGGGCTCCTCCTCAGTGTAATCAGAGCAGAAATGGGGAGGAGCACAGGAAATGTAGAGTTCGAATCTGTCTGAAGTGGAAGATATTTCTTTGTTCTGTGGGTTCCAGCCTGCTCCCATAGCATGCAAGGTCACTTTACTTTGAAAGGAAATGATAGAAATACACTCCGTAATTCAGCATGAATGATCTATTAAAGTAACAGTGACTTTAAGTTTACTTTCATTTCACTGCTGTAGTTATACAGGAATAACAGGTTCTCTACAGAGCAATGACATCAAGGGCTTCTTCATGCCCTCTGAAAAGTACATACTGCAAGCAGGACGGAATTAATCAATGCCTCAAGGTTTGTTATCCAAGTTGCCTGGAAATACACCCCTTCCATGAAGGGTCCAGAGGGCAAGGTGTGTGAGGAGTGGCTGAGGTCCCTTGGTTGGTTCAGTCCAGAGCAGAGGAGCTCAGGGGAGCCCTGATGGCTTGCAGCTCCTCACAGGGAGTGGACAGCAGCACCGAGCTCTGCTCTGTGTGACAGCAACGGGGCCTGAGGGAACAGCATGGAGCTGTGTGAGGGGAGGGGCAGATGGGTGTTAAGAAAAGGTTCTTCACCAGAAGGTGATGAGCATGGAACAGGCTCCCCAGGGTAGTGGTCATGGCACTAAGCTTGATGGAGCTCAAGAAGTGTCATCATCGATACGGCTGAGTTTTGGGTGGTCCTGTGTAGAACCACATGCTGGAGTTGATGATCCTTCCAACTTGGGGTACTCTATGATTCTGTGATTCTATGGTTATATTTCATGCAAATCTTGCATCCTATTCACACAAGTGGTGCTCGTTTGAACCACTGAGATTTGCATCAGAAAACACCAAAGCTTCTTACTTTTTTCAGGGTCAGATCTGTGGGTCTCGCTTCCTTGAAGAATTCCCAGCTAGTGAGGAAGTCTTGGTGGAGGGCATGTTAGTGTTGCTCTTTTGGACACCTGCTGGCTGGGAGGGTTGTTTCTTTTTCATCACTGGAGTTTTGTTCTTGCTTTTAAATACCTTATTGGGGTCCAGCTTGTTTACAAAGGAATCAGCTTCTTCAGAGAGAAGAGTTGTGTTTATTGTTATGGGTTTATACATGTTAAACCATTGCTGGAAGACAGGATGATGGAGAAGGAGTAAGTTAAACATCAAACTATAATTATACATTTTCTGCCTGTTTCTTCTCATCCTAGTGCCCTGATTTTAATCATAATCTGCATACCAATTTGCAATTTACAGGACTGTGCAAAGTCCCTTCTGATAGGGATACAGCCCTGGAGCTGCCTCACATTCCAGACAAGGAAGAGGAGAACCAGAAACAAACCTAACACTATTTTTCCTGCAGTGTAATTCCTATCAGGAGCAACTCTTAATCATCATAACACTTAAATAATATGAGGAAAAGCAAAGGGAGGAGATGAAACTAGGCCATTTTTATCTAGGCTCAGAGAAGCAGAAAAGATTAAAAACCTGGAATGAAAAAGTGCTTATGAAATATAAATTTTAGCTGCACTTCTCAAAAGATAGCCTGCCTCACTCTCTTCGTACATACGATATTACGATTTTTTTTTTTAAACTCTTGACACAAAGGATTTTGTGTTTGTTTCTCTTCAGCCTGATTTAATGTTTAGAGGTGACCACAAGATTTTTTTTTTTGTTCCCATATGCCCCACAATTATGCCCTGAAGATCCTACATCTCAGTGCTTTTCCTATCAGTTGTCCATTGATGAAGTCATGAAATAAAACTGCAGGGGTTAAAGTATTACAAATCTGAGGCCATCCTTACTGAATTATTTAAGAAGATAAACAAAAAATCAATACCAAATATAAATAGAAATCTGTTCATATATTGCTTTATGGCAAAGGGCTTTAATGTACCATCTCTAAAGACCTTTGCAAACAATAATGGTTAACATACTAGGAGGATTTAAACTAACAAAGGCTGCAAATGATTAGAGAGTATATGAATAATTTCGCTAAGTTTTGAGAATACACAATATAATGAAATATTCTAGCAAGAAAACTACAAAAAAGGTAGAGCACAGACAAGTGCTAATATACTATGCATACAGCCCTGGCCACAAGGTAGTGCACAGTATGACAGGGAAGACAACAGAAATGCAAGGGGACAATCTGATAGAAGGGAATTCGACAGTGATTATAGCGAATAATTTCAGTGCACACACAGGGCTGAGGCAGGCAACATGTCATGTGTAGGTTAAGTGCAGGACATTCAACAAGACCTGCCAGGCCTTGCCAGCATGCACTGTGTCAGCTCACACAAGGTAGTAGCTAAGTTAAGGCTGAAGGCCCACTCAAGCACAGAGGAATAAACAGGAACCTCTAAGCAGGCTACTGGCAGAACAGGATGGCTACTTTAATGGTATAGAGAGTCTGGACTGTCTGTACTTGGAGTTCTCTTACGAGTGCTTCTGTGTCTGCTGGCATTTAAATTACTCTTCTAGGCACCGTTTTTATCAAGATATTCCTTTGCAACTGATGAGGACAGGAGAAGAATTGGTATTCTTTGCTAAGCTGAAGTTGATAGTTCTCCTCTGGGCTTCTGTCTAATGTATGCCTGGACTTCCCTCTCCACCTAGTTAGCAGTGGGATCTTGTTTGGTGCTATGCCTAGAAAGCTGATCTAGACAAATATCACTTAGACAAATGACTTTACATCTCCTCTAGCAGTCATGGAAATGGACGCTGGCCTCCAAGTCCAGAAAGCAAGCACTTAATTAGCTACCACACCTGTTAAAAGAGGTGAAAGGTAGAGATCAGTTAAGGTGAGAAAAGTATATTAACACCATGTTAGTGAATTTACTGATGTAAATGACTGTTAACATGGTAGGAGGGAAGGGCTCATGGCCCCTACCATGGCTCAGTAGGAAGGTCTAGTTAAGCCTACAGACTGTCAAAAGTTGGAAGATATTTTTCCCATCTATAATTAACACAAAATGCTGACAAGCTGGATTCTACTGTCTTACCTTGGCTTGAGGGCTGACTCCGTAGCTGGTGAAGGCATACTGCCACTGTGGGAGACCCAGGTGAGTGATGAGCAGGCGATAGTAGGCTGTGAAGGTTTTGGTGAGGAAATGCCAATACAGAGCTCTGTCTAGGAACCATATCTCTGTGTCTGGGGACACAACTAGAACCACACAAGCAGAAACTACATATTGTTGCTCTATAGCGATGCGAGATCAATCCCTGACCCACTGTCAAGTGGGAGACAAAACATAGTTATGGAAAAGGCTGCACCTTCTAAAACCTAGCATCCCTGACTAACACAGGTGATTATCCACAGGAGAGTGGTTTAATGGATAAGAGCTTAATGTCTGAAGAAATCCTGATTTCTCTCCCAGGATCACACAATAGCCATTACAATCACTTTCCCCACTGTAAAACCTATGCAATCCTATTTCTATCTAGCCTGGGACTGACACTCTATATTGAACATCTTCAGACAACAGCAACTTTGTAATGTAATTTTAAGGCATTATCATGGCCAACATTTATCTGCCCCACAAAATATAAACAACTAACTCAGCTGTTGGTCATCTAGATTACTGTGTAAAGTCCATAACTCATGGGACAGTGTATTCTGCCAACAAAAAAACATTTTGCAAAATCTCAAAACAGTGATTAAACATTTCTCTGGTGGCAACAACCTTTGAAGAAACCACCATCAGATTACCAGCACAAAAATAAGTGATTCTGCTTGGAAAATGGAGACTGAATGCTGTCAATTAAACACAGTCTCCTACGCTGACATCAGCAGCGGTAAACAACACTCCTTTCCCTTGTTCAGGTTATCCATTGCATGGACTGAAATCACTGCCACTGAAAGCCAGATGACAAGCAGTAAGTTTCTGCCCTGGAAGTTAAAGTCATATCCAATTAAAAACACAAGATAACAAACAAAGGCTTTTCTCAGGAACAGGTGTACCACAATTGCATAATCCCACCGTGTACATGCACGTACACAAACACCTACTGACCTGTGCACTTTGACAGATGACAGCTACTTTATAAGAGACCTGCATGTTCCACTGATCCCTGACTGAAAGAAACTTTTCTGGTATGCTTTAGTAAGCACGGCTCATCTCATGTCTTTTGTTCTGCCTTTCAACCTCTCCCCAGCAAATTTTGACCTACCTGGGAGGTCTGCATGCACATTCAAGGAGACTGAAACAGTCTAAATTGGCCTGACTGAGATGAGGACTTTTTTGTCATCCATCTTTTGCTACTAAGCACTTCATGTTTCTTATTAAAACATAAGCGAATTGTTGTAAGACATGTAAGTCACCAGACATATGTTAGCAGCTGAAAGTCTAGCTCACTGCATTACTTCAACATAATTGTCTGTCGGTTATATGTGAGTGCTTTCCTGTTTCAGTATACAATTACACTATGCATGAGAATTATGAAGTTATAACTTAGACTCAAATTTTAAAAGGAGGGAAAGCGTTATCTCCAACTAAGCCACTGTAAGACTTAGCCACCGAGTTCAGCAGAGGCTGGATGTCTCAGTAAATGTCCATCTATAAATTGCAAAGGTCAAAATTTTATGATTCTATGTATATGCGTCCCAGATACAATCTGCAAAAAAAGATGGATAACTTTTCTCTTGTCAGTCTTACCTGGTTTAGTGTGCTTATAAACAAGACAAACTTTCCCATTTCCATTGCATGGGTCTAATTCAAAAATAAAACTACGAGAATCAAAGTGTGGTTTCTCTGGTTTGTCTTCATTACCTGAAAGCAGAAAAAAAATATCTTGAAACATGTTTGGAAAACTATGTGTCAGCTGCAGTCTATTCATTTAGCAGTTGTTAATAAATTAGCTGAGAAAGAACTAAACCAGACCATTATATTTATAATTCTTGGAAAGGACTATATTCAGACAGAGGTCTGAACATAATCAAGGTTTCAGTAGGAAAACAGAATCAAAATCAGTTGGCTGAAGAAGACATCAAGCTGCCTTATAGTTCTTTCCTGGCATAAGGTAGCATCAGCTTTATGGATGTCAGACAACAGGTATCTTATCATTTCTTAACAATCTCCAGTGCTCACAATGCCATAATTTCCATGCAGCTAAATGCACGGTTATAACTTACAAGTTTTGCTCACACTGATCTTGAATCTTCTTTCCTACAACTGAAGTCCATTATTTCATTCAACCCACCTTCCTTTTTTCTGGCCCTATCTTCTTATTTTCTGAAGAAGTCTATTCTTTTTCTGTCTATTCTGTCTATTCTTTTTCTCTTGATAGAAGACCTTGATGAACTCGAAGAAAATACTTCTTCACACCTTCAGTGTGACATCAGCCTCTTTCTCAGCAGACAAATGTTCTGACTCTCACTCAACTTCTGGCCCAAAACCAACTCAGAGCCTTTCTACAGGCCCATTTTAGAACTGTGCAGCTGTAAACTCTTGTGGTATATAGTTTTGAATTTTAATGCTTCTGAGGAAGAAGAGGGACAGGAAAGTTGTACTCTTCAAAACAGCACTCCATGAAAATCAGGATGAGAACTCTTATGGGTTTCTGATTTCTACTCAGTGCACCTTGTAAGTACATCAATGAAGGTCTTTGAGTCTAAATAGTTAAAAATGTAAAAAGGGGAAAAGGCAGAACAGGAGAATAGACAGATTGTTAAAAACAAATGAAAATAATACTGGTGATTAAGAGTTAACAATCCCCAACAGATTCATGGATACACAGCATGTAGGTCTACATCTGGAAGTTCTAGGGGACTAAAAGAATATGTATCATGGTCCAGCAGAGACAAAAAAACATCTGTTCCCATCCAGGTGCTATATTGTAGCATTAACTCAAAAGGAAGGAAGCAGACCACTTGTTCTAAGCTGTTAACAGCACCTTACCCTCCTCATCTGTGTCACCTTCCAGGTCAGCAAGAGATGGTGCATTAGGCACGGTGTACATGGAGGAGCCTCCAAGCCGACAAAGCTTTGAGACACTATTAATCACCATGGAGCCCAGGGGCACTGGGGTATCTGCAATAAAACAGATCATCAATTACATCCAGTACTAGGACAGCACAGAACACATTGCTTTTTCTCCAAACATATACTCAAGTCCTGCATTTTCGTCATAAGAATCCCAGGCAACCCTACAGACACAGGGAGGAGTGGCTGGAAAGCTGCCTGACAGAAAGGGACCTTGGGGTACTGGTGGGCAGTCGGCTGAACATGAGCCAGCAGTGTGCCCAGGTGGCCAAGAAGGCCAGTGGCATCCTCGCTTGTATGAGGAGTGGTGGTGAGCAGGACTAGGGAAGTCATCCTGCCCCTGTACTTGGCACTGGCGAGGCCTCACCTCAAGGGCTGTGTTCAGTTTTGGGCACCTCAGTACAGAAAGGACATGGAGGTGCTGGAGCAGGTCCAAAAAAGGGCAACAAGGCTGGTGAAGGGCTTGGAGAATGTGCCCTATGAGGAAAGACTGAAGGAACTGGGGCTGTTTAGTCTGGGGAAGAGGAGGCTGAGGGGAGACCTTATTGCTCTCTTCCAATATCTGAAAGGTGCTTGCAGTGAGAGTGGGGTTGGTGTTGTCTTCTCACTGGTGACAGGTGACAGGAGGGGGGGAAACGGCCTCAAGTTGCACCAGGGGAGATTTAGGTTGGATATCAGGAAACACTTCTTAACAGAAAGGGTTGTTAAGCACTGGAATAGGCTCCCCAGGGAGGTGGTTGAGTCACCATCCCTGGACGTGTTTAAAAGCTGTTTGGATGTGGTGCTCAGGGACATGATTTAGCAGAGGATTGTTAGAGGTAGGGTAGCACGGTTATGTGCTGGTTGGACTTGATGATCTTTAAGGTCTTTTCCAACCTAAGCAATTCCATGATTCTAAGCTCCTCTAAAACAGATGGGGACCCCAGCAAGCCTAGTTACAGTTAACAAAGTTGGGCTCCATGAGAGGAAAAAAAAAGGCATTTTCAAACAACAGCAGGTCAGCATCTTCTGCTGCACTGCAAAATAAAGGAAATTTCAACTCACTTTTATTTGCTGTAATTTGGAACAAATCTAATTTCTATAATTCATTACAGAAAAGAAACTGCTGTTCATATCACATCTTGGTGCTGTGCAAATGAGAACTGCACTGCAGACTAGATCTGTGCTGCAGCTGCTAGTCCACTCCTGTGGAATTGGTTATTGAAAATCTTAGCTAGTAACATTCACCTCCACATAGCAGTTTGTTTTTGCTGCTGCCCTTGCTACAAGGAGCCACCCCTTCACACAGTACTAGACAGCCTGTCTTCTTCCACCTCACACATCCTTCTAAGCTCCACCCTAAAACAGGTTTTCATCAGTGTGATGGCATGTTCGTGTTCTCGAGAGAATTGTAAGGACTGGTCACTTGTCAGAAGCACTCCATCTGGCCACATAGCAGCATGGAGGGCTTCAGAAAGCACAGAAAGATGGTTGCTTAAACAAGACCCTTATGGACCTTCTTGGACTCTGGAAACTTGTGTGCTCTGAAAGCCAGATTCTTCAGTGGTCACAACACTCCAAAACCCACTTGAAACATTATGGGACTTCAGTGCAGGTGTCACAGCCTGGTATTTCAAATGAAATCCCACTTCCTCAGGAAAAACCCCATATTAAACTGCATGACCTCTGCTCAGGTGCATGACTGAGTTGGGCTTCTATTAACTCAGAAAGAGAACTATGTGAGAATTGTATCTTCCACTTTAGTTGTGTAGGGTAAAAGGCAAAGAAGATAATCTTTTGCAACTGTCATGGTCTTTCTGCTTTTCTCCTTTGGGCTCAGTCAAATAGCTTCAACAGATCAATTTTCCTCAGATTACGGTCACCAGATGGAGCAGAGAGACATGGAAGATACTAATGTGAAGACAGTGATGTGAAGAACTTTCTACAGCACTCATTATGGTTCGTAATCCAATGAGTAATGGACATACTTATGTGATAGCGAAGGACAGTTCCCTCCCAGTACCAAAGAAGTAGAAAAAGGGAGAGGGATTATGCTGTCAGCACAAAGTCCTCATTCTGACCTTTTATTTGGTCTGCCAGTTTAAAATGAGTGCACACTCCAGGTAATCTGGATTGTATATACATATACTTTCAATGAGAAAGAGGCATTTTCTGTGGGTCACTCTTACTGCTTTTTAATAGGATAACTATCCTGGATAGATCTAGATCTGCTAGATCTGTTTCTCTCTCCAAAAATTACAAAGAGAGTCTAGGTACTAGATTTAAAAAACATACCTAAATCTGGATGTTGACAGATGGCCAATGTAATACAGAATAGTTTCTGTCATAAAGCCTTGTTTGGTTTTGAGAATGTGTTTGGCATTTGTCTCTTTTGCACAAGTTCAGCATATGCAAACAGCAGCTTTTGTCCTGGTGCATCAGTAAAGGACTTTCGATTTTTTTCCCCATCAAGATACTTCTAAAACAGCCTACAATCCAGTGCAGATCTGCAATCACTTATTAAATCAGAGATCAGTTTTCTAGTGACTGATGAAGTTGCCAACTAGAAGCAAACAACTCAATTTTTTTCCGAGTTAAGGAACGGTCCTAGTTTTTCATTCAAACAGACTGCAAAAAGAAAGCTTGAGATTAAAGAGGTTCTGCAAAGGAAGGATTATCTGCAAGATATAAGGGCATCAGCTGAAACAAACACATGCACTTACCGTCGATTTTTACACTCCAGGTCATCTGGAAGCCATCAGTCATCAGATAGAAGTTCTTTAAATCCTCAGGCAATATGCAGGCATTTTTCTGCAAATCACAAGAGGATTTAAGTATTAAGGGGAAATGCAGAACATGCCTCAAACCCAAAGAGAAACTAAATATTGGTACAGAAATAGTTGCCACCAAGTGTCCTGCTCAGCTCCTACATGACTCAAATCAGGCCAAATATTTCAATCTAAACCTGGCAGAAAACTGCACATTTCTTGAGACCATGCTATACTATCAACAAAGACGTAGAGGGAAAATTGGGAAAATTTCACAATTTTTGAACTATCGAGCAGTTCGTCACAGGACTGTTTCCCCATTGAGACAATATACTCAATGTCTTTCCAGGATCAGAGGTAAAAGGACATATTTGTTTTCATATATGTATGTCTTATAAGAATAGAGTTGCATTTTAAGTGAAGTCAGACTAAACCCACCTATTCCACTAAATCACGTATAATAGTAGCACAGTGACTCTTTTCTTCAAAGGGCTTTCAGTTCCAGGCAGGTGAGAGGAGAACAGATTCAGTACAGCCCATAGTCAGGCAGATTTCACATTTCAATTAACAGTAAATGTGCACACACACAAACAATCAGACTCACAGAAAGCCTCAGCCTGGTTTCAACCCACCACACTTTGGCACTGGGTTGGGGCTCCTAAGAATGCTTTCTCCTGAGCCAACTGCAAAAGGAGCAATTGCAGCATTAAGAGGCTTCTAAAAGCCAGGATCCTTCTCCTATACATATTGAGGTTGTAGAAGAAGCCTTAACTCAGACTCTCAAGTTAAACAACATATATGAAAAAAAAAGTTTAAAGGCTTAATCTTCAGAATAACTAAAAGCCCATATCAGAGCTATAGCCAATTGCAGGGACTGCCCCTGGAAATAGGTGCGGATCCTTCACACACGCAGATCCTTCACTCCCACTGATGCAAAACAGAACAGTACAGAAGCAAGTCAGTTTTAAAAAGATAAGCAACACGTATAACTAAAAGAGTTACTGGCTGCTTTGCAGTTGTTTGAGTGAAAAAAAGAGATCAAAAAAGATTGAAGTGAGTTTACATTTAAAGTGTCTTCAAACCCAGGATTCCAAGAGAGAATCAGACCCCAACACTCAAGAGAGTTTAATAATTAGAAGTATTGAAATATAATACTGGTAGCTGTGGCTTTGTCTTGCTGAATCTTTAAAAGCTCCAATGATACAGGTCCCACAGCCTCTGTATTAATTTCTCCAAGGGCTGCATTGTCTTCACTGAGAAAAAGATTTCCTAATTGCAGGTTAGATCTCCAAGCTGCAAAATTGTGGTCATTCTCTCTTTTAGTCCCAATGCTATTAAATCTTCTCAATGACACAAACAAGCCCTTTGGGAGATAAACCCTCATTAAACCAGAAGGACAGACAACTTCTTTAAAGCATAGGTCTGAGACATGTATATAGCTACAGGATTCAGGCAGCCCCATTTTACCAGGAAAATAAACAAATAATATGAAATCTGCCACAGTCTATCTGGTGACTTAAGTACTTTTGTGACAGGATTTTCAGCCTTTTCCAAAAATGGTTTACTTCTTCCATTCATCCAGTTTAAAAAATATCCTGTTGGACGTGGCCGGGTCTTCATGCAGTGAATTTGACACCCAAACAAGAAACTATGAGATTACAAACTTTAAGAGCATTAAGGTCAGCTGTGTTGTCCCCTGTATATAAAGCTAATCCTAGCACAGAGCCAGATGTTATTCAAGGATTCACAGCTTAGCCTCAGAGGCCTTGACAAGTTTCAGAGCAGCTACAGAATTGCCTTGGAGAAAGCAGAGGTGTTGTAGTAACAGCTTTCTAGCATTCCCTCAGCTGAGACTGGATTTGTAACTAGAGATTGTGATAAGATTGTTCCCCATGTTTGTAGCCCGCACAAATCCAGTTGTCCGCCTGGATTTTGACTCAATGCCTCTATCCAACAGGACCTGCCTCCCAGCTGTACATTCAGCCACACTGCTGATTTCAGGTCATTATGAATTGACATAGAGAAGGACAGGTACTGTCCTTCTCCTGGCCATATTCCTTCCCAAGGATCTAGCCAGCCTTCCTGCTTGTTAAATCACAGTCATATAAAATCACAGAATCAAAGAATGGTTTGGGTTGGAAGGGACCTTTAAGGCCATCTAGTTCCAACCCCCTACTACAGGCAGGGGCACCTCCTGCTAGACCAGGCTGCTCAAAGCCCCATCCAGCCTGGCCTTGAATGCTTCCAGGAATGGGGCATCCATAACATTTCTGGGCAACCTGTTCCAGAGGCTCACCACCCTCACATAACTCACGGTAAAGAACTTCTTCCTCATATGTAGCCTTAACCAACCCTCTTCCACTTAAAAACTGTATCCCTCAACCTACCGCTACATGCCCTTATAAAAAGTCCCTCCCTGGCTTTCATGTGGGCCCCTTTAGTTCTTGGAAGGCTACAACATCTCCTTGAAGCCTTCTCCAGGCTGAAGAGTGTCTTTCTTGTGTTGGGGGCTGCAGATCTGGATGCAGTACTCCAGGTGGGGTCTCATGAGAGCAGAGCAGAGGGGCAGAATCATCTCCCTTGACCTGCTGCTCTGCTTCTCTTGATGCAACCCAGCATATGGTTGGCCCTCTGAGCTGCAACTGCACGTTGCCAGCTTATGTTGAGTCTTTCATTAGTTGACACCCCCAAATCCTTCTCCTCAGGGCTGCTCTCAAGTCATTCCATGCCCAACATGTATGTGTGCTTGAGACTGCTCCAACCCAGATGCAGGATGTTGCACTTGGCCCTGTTGAACTTCATGAGGTTGGCATAGGCTCACATCTCCAGCCTGCCCAGGTCCCTTTGGATGGCACTCTCCCTGTAGTGTGTCAACTGCATCTCTAAGATTGGTGTTGTCTGCAAACCTGCTGAGGGGGCACTCGATCCTACTGTCCATGTCACCACAAAGAACAGCATTGGTCCCAACACTGATCCCTGAGTTGTTACAGTTCCTGTCCTCTAAACTCTGGCATGCACACAGTGCAGGAGCCTTTAACCCACACACAGCTTTCAATCCCGCATGCTAAATAATGTACTTTTCAGGCATATCCAAATTTATGCCTACAGACTACTGATGGTAAGTCCCAGATACTAATGACTTTGCAGCTTACAAGTAGGCAGTGTGCTTTACTTGGCCCATTAGCAGCCCAGTTACTAACACAGTTCTTCCTAACCCAGTTTCAGAAAAACTCCAGAAATGAGTACTACTGAAGAAGAGAGTCTGATACCAGAGAAACTTTGAGAAGAACTTACTGTCATTTAATGAGAACCTGCTGATGGCCAAGGGCCTGGTGGTAAGTTTCAGAACATTACTAAAACACATGGACATATCTGAAGTTCTTCAAATGCCTTTAGCAACACACCTTATTCTTAGGGTTCTTCTCAGTTCTAAATATTTATAATTTCATGCTGCACTTTCACCACTTCTAATTCCAAGCTGTATCTGCAAGGACAGCGCCTATGTTTAAAACTACAAAAAACAGAAAATATGACAGACCTGCTACAAAGAGTACAAATGTTTACACAGTACTTTCTAACATCCCACCCCTCAATTCTGTACTGACCTACCTCAGCAGTAAAAACATATAGAAGAACAGCTCCCTTGACTTCAGTGGGTGTTTTCCTGTAAGCAGGCGAACTACATCAATTGGAATGACTAGTCCCTGCATAAAAGTCATATCTGGGAAGGCATTCTGCTCTGAATCTTCCTTTTCTGGAAGGCAAGAACAGCGTGTGCGTGTTTTTCCAACTTTATTTTTGGATTCTCCTAAATAAGTCCTCTTGGATGACACTCCAAGTGGTGCTTTAAAATGCTGTGCAAATCTGGGGCCCATATAAACTCAAAAAAGCTTTATTTGTACCTATCTCTTCCATCTGACAGAGAGAACTGACCAGTATGTCACACTGTGCTTAGCCACATTACTTCAAAACAGCAATTTTCTGACAGTAGAGTCAGATAAACAATCCACTATTAAATATAAAAGATAGGCTTTCTCTCAAGAAGCTGTATTCCCTCTGATCAACTGCAGTTTCCATGATTGGTGATCTCCAAACTCGTAAAATACAACCTTCCTAATAACTTGTCAGAAAGGGCTTAACCACAGCCCTGTTGAGCAGCTGTTTTTGCCCCAGTCATCTGGTTACACTCATTTGCTCATAAAACAGAATATCCCAAATGACCAATACAATGTGTGAGGTCTCTTTCTTTTGGTTGCTGTCCATAATATCCTCAAATGGTCTCTCAACAAAGCACAGTCCACTGATGGCAGACAATATTACATACAACATACTGAGAAATTCTTGTTCACCTGTTGTAACCTTTATCCAGGTATGGTTCCCAGGACAAGCCTCCTTGTATTTTCAATCCCTTCCACTTATGAAAAGGCACAGGGCTGGAGTGGGCCCAATTCCCCGCTGCACAGAACATGATTTGCTAGTTTTCTTGAAGATGGTGTGGTGTAGCCACTACTTTATATCAGAATATCATAAGGATCCCCAAGATGAGAATGCTGTGTCAGAATCATCAACTGCCATCCGAAGGTTTCCAACCTGTTCCCTTTCAGGCAGTTTGAGGAAATACACTTGTCTTGTGCACCAGTTCTGCTGGATTCACTTTCCCAGCTCTCACATGCAGGATTATAAGGCAGATTCAAGGCTGGCAGAGTCTGTGTGTTCCTGGGTGTCACGGACTGCAAGTCCACCTAATGCTCTTGGAGAGCACTGCAAAAAGATGGAAAGAAAAGCCTCTGTGGATGTATGCACCCACATACAGATCTTTGAGTCAAAATGAGATATGGTAAACATGCTGAGGAAGACGTCTAAAAGTGCCAGGAACAATCACCTCAGTTCCCAGTCAGATTGATCTGAAGTTTCTGAATTGTCTGGCAGCCTAAGACAGCCCACAGCAGTAAAGTCCCAGACTACATGAGGCCTTTTGTCAACGAAGAGTATAAGAAGAAACAAAAAATTTGTCAACTAGAGTTGCAGAATATCAATGCTGCA